ACGCCCCAAGCAGCTTTCAACCGAAGAAGGGCCTCCAAATGCAACCCCCAGCCGGAACACTGTAATATAGGGTCAATAATTACCTATACTATTTGGTTCATTGTCCTCATTATTGGATAGGGGCCCCAAAGCCCTATTCTAATTACTAAGGCCCCTAGATGACTCGTTGAAGCCCCAAGTGGGAGAGTTCAGCGGCCTCAAAGACCCAGCAGGGTTGGTGTGAGTGGTTGGGTTTAGGGTTTAGGGTTTTCGGTTTAGGAGTTGCGGAGGTTTCAGGGATTTGGGCCTCATGTAGGAGCCTGATTAAGAAACCCTGGGCCTATGACGCCAAATCAGTCGGATTCACATTAAGAAAACCCGATAAAGGCACAAGGTTTCTGAACCAGGTTCCTACATTTCATTAAATGGTCACAACCCTTATAGTACCCTTACAGTACCCTTTAAAGGAACCCTTAAAGGAACCCTAAAGGCCCAAGCTTTCTGAATCAGGTTCCTACATTGAACCGTAAACCCTAAACCCTAAACCCTAAACCCTAAACCCTAAACCCTAAACCCTAAACCTTAAACCTTAAACCCTAAACCTAAAACCCTAAACCCTAAACCTTAAAGGTTTGGCTTGGGGTTTTGGGTTTGGGCCTAGGCGCCTCTAAGAGGCCCTCCGGAGATGTAAAGCCTTCAACTCTTGGGTTTAGGATTTCGGGGTCCGGGGGGGGTATGGGATTTCGGGTGCTGGGTGTAGGATTTGGGGGTTTGGGGTGTAGGGTTTAGGGTGTAGGGTTTAGGGTGTAGGACTTGGGGTTTTGGTGCAGGGTTTCGGGTTTAAGGTGTAGGGCCTTGGGAGCATCAATGGGCAAACTGCATCAGCAAGCGAGAACCAGGCTCCCATGCAGCTACCCTGTAGGGTTTAGGGTTTAGTTTGTAGGATTTAGGGTTTAGGGTCGAGTTAGTAGGGTTTATGGTTTAGGGTCTAGTTTTCAGGGTTTAGGGTTTAGGGTTTAGTTTGTCGGGTTTAGGGGTTAGTTTGTAGTTTTTTTGTTTAGGGTTTTGGGGCCTAATTGTGTACCCTGGGGCTATGCTGCCCTGGCTCCGTGGTTCCGGGTTTGCAGCTCTAGGTCTGGGTTGGAGGCTACCCAGATCCTTTAATTAAGGAATATACTGAATATACCTTGACTTATTCACAAGATCTCTACTATGATGTAAGGATTATTCCTTAATGAATTAAGGGATATTGGAGTCTTTGAGGAGCCGTTATAGCTATAACGCTCCATCAGTTTGGGGGGGAACATGCTATCAGTCTTACGAGCTGGGTTTGAGGTTTAGGGGCCTCCGCCAAAAAGCCACTTCCTACAGCCTGAATCCCTGCACCTTCAGCTTAACCCACAGCCTCGTGCGCCGGACAAACCCAAACCTCCAAGACAGCGACGCGCACGCGATGAAACCCTGCACTGTGAGCCCCCACGCCCGATATCCTTAGGATCGTAGACTGAAAAGCCAAACCCTACACCCTTTGCCTAAACCCCAGAGCGCACTCAGGTTTGTTTGCTGGGGCCCCCCGGAGTGGGCAAAACAGCTTTGGTGGAGGAGGTCTGGCAATCGGCCATCTGTTTCGTTTTTGGGGTTTAGGGTTCAGGGGATTGGGGGGTTTAAGCTTCAGTTTCTTTTGCAAATCGGGCTTGGTCGTGCAGGGTTTGGGTTCCCTAAACCTAAACCCGACGACAAGCGCGGAAGCCTAAACCCCAAACCTGCAGGGCTGGGTTGTCGTCTGTGGGGCTGAGGGTTTAGGGTGCTTTTTTAGATTTTGAGTTGTCGTGGTTCCGGGGATTATGTTTCTTTTGACCACTATTCGGCGGCAAGGAATTTTGGGGTTCCGATCGCGGCCTAGGAGCAGCCTTTGTAGAAGTGGAGCAATGATTGCGCTCTCGACCATTTCTTGGCTTCCCTGCACACCTGGCGCTGATTAATAATACGCGTACCTTGCAGAAGAAAAGCCAGGGTGGGAGGATACTACGGTTGCTGATATAAATCCTGCATTACCTTAATGGCCCTAAACTATGGGAATTATGGTATGTGCCTTATTATGGGTAATGCAGGGTTTATATCATCAACCGTAACAGTCACCAGCTTTAGCCAACCCGTCCTCGCTAACTGCCAAATGGAGAGATTCACAGCAAGGAAAATTGCTGATATTATACGCATTCAATGCTCCTTTTACAAAGGCCGCTTCGCAGTTATGTTGGCCACCGAAGGGAAGGAGCAGGCAAAATCATCCAATCGGGTCGACTTTGAAAACAAAGTCTCATTCTGGAGCAGACTTTTCCGGCGCCAGCTGGATGGAGGGAACCCGCAAGCTCACCAATGAGAAATGGTGGTTTCTTCTACAAAGCGGACCCAGGCTTTGTCGGCAATGCTAGAGGGAAGGCCTTGGCCACCCTGAATCCTAAACCTCACATCCCAAATCCTGATGCCCACATCACATCTCAACATCCTCAACCCTGAACCCAGTGGACCTCGAGCAAGGAGGCGAAGAAGGATCCCCGACCTAAATTCAGCATCCCAAATCCCAAACTCTAACCCATAGACCGCAAAGCTCAAACCTTATCCGAACGCGACCGCTGACAAGCTGCAGCCTGAACTGTAAAAACTCCACAGCAGCAGTGAGCAAATGAGCCCCCTAAACCCCACATAAAGCCAAACCTCTAAACCCTAAACCCCTACGTCCTAAACCCTAACCCCTAAACCTAAAACCCTAAGCCCCTAATCCTAAAGCCTAAACCCGAAATCCTTCAAAACAACCCCGATCTGCAAACTCCCGAAGAGAGGTTGCAAGGCGAATCCACCTGCGAGAGGGCATTCCGAGGCCTGAATCGCTTTCATTTTTTTCGGCTTCGCGGGATTTAGGATTTCAGAGTTTAGGGGTTTAAGGTTTAGCGGCTTTAGGGGTTTAGGATTCAGGGTTTAGGGATTAGGAGTTTGGGGTTTCGGATTGTCTTTTTCTGGATTCGGGGTCCGGGGGGTCTCTGGAAGCTGCTGGGCCAGGATCTCTGCGGTAATGTTCCTTGAACTTTGCAGGCAGCCTCGATTATCTTTGCATATATGTTGGGTACGGCCCCCACTCAGTAACAGTTGGATAATATGCATAATATAGATATATAAGGCCATTAATAGTAGCCCTATTATAGACTCTTACTGTATGGGGGCCGTACATATACATATATTTTTTTTGCTTGATCCAGGGGCAGCGCGTGCAATTCTGTTCGATTCCCTGCCCCGCACCGGATCCTGACCAGAATGCAGCGTGCAATACTAGAATAGCTGGTGATATGGTTCCTTTGACTTTCTGATATCGTTGTCGTATAGCGTTCCCCGAAACCCTATTCCGAAATCTTCGGGCCCCTAAATATGACGCCCAGAGGGACTGTTGCGCTGGATGGCATTCACAATCTGCCTCGCAAAGCTCGAAATGACCGAAAGGCATCGCCGAGAGGCACCGTCCTGAAGGCTAAAACCCTCATAGGGCCTTTCAAGCCGGGAAGCGACTTGTCTCAAGACCCCTAGAAGAAGCTGGCAGTACCTGTATGGAGCCTAACCGCTAAAGCCTAAACCCCCGAACCCTAAGCCCTAAACCCCTGAATCCTAAGCCCCAGAGCTTAACGAACCCGCGGAAGTCACCGCCTTGAGGGGGATTCCAATGCACCCCATACAGGAACCCCCAAACTCCCTCAACAGGAAGCCTTCATTTAGGTAGTATTATTAGGGAGACCCCTTCAAGGGTACCCCTTCTGAACCCTACTTCTGGCTCTCTTAAAAGGGGCCTTCTTGAGAGGGTCTATATCCCCAAGGGTCCCCCGAATCCTAACTCCCACCATTCCTTTGAAGGAACCCTAAAGACCCTCAAAAAGAAACATAAAAAAGCGACGCTTCAAGGAACCCTTAAGGGTTGCTTTGGAGGACCCCTTAAAGGTTCCTGTAAAGGACCACTTTAATCAAAGGGGAACAGGAGGGACCCTTAATAAGGACCCCTGGGTAAGAACCCTTAATATTATAGCTACTATATACCCATTATATAGCCCATTATAGGGTAGGGGTCCCCATTAAGGGTCCCTCCTTTTCCAAATTGATTTATTTAAGAGGCAGCTTCAGCCCTGCCGCCGGCTGATCCAGCTAAGCCTCGGCTCGCTGGTGGGTGGCACCCGGTGAGCCCCGGGGCTTCTGCTTTTGGTTTCTGGGCTTTGGGTTCAGGGTTTAGGTTTTAGAGGTTTACTGTATAAGCGTTTCTTTCGAGGCTTATGAGGTTTCTTTGCACTACTCTCAGGGGTTGCTTTTAGTACCAAGGGTTTACGATTTCAGGGTCTGGATGGTTTGGGGCATGAGGGTGATACGATGCTGAGGTTTGAGGGCTAAGACGGTTTAGGAATTTAGGATTATAGGGCCAGTAGGTCACAGTCTAGCGATTTAGGAATTTAGGGTTATGGGGCCAGGAGGTTACAGTCTAGCGATCTAGGCCAGGTGCTTTGGAGGTCAAGGATGCACGGTGGTCAGTGCATCGTATTTCGGGGCTTCTGGGCTGTGTTGGTTTGGTAGAGTTCGTTGGAGTTTGAGGTATATGGCTTAGAGGATTACGCCGGTGTTCCAGTTTGTCCCTGGCCATTAAGCCCAAGCCCCAAACCCTAAACCCTAAACCCCAAATCACCAATGCCTTACGCCCTGAATCCGTAACTGGCGGGTGGAAAAGAGGGTCAAAAAAGAATCCATATATGGTGTTTGAGACCATCCATGAGCCCCAAGTCCAAAGCTCTAAACCCCCAGTAAGCCCGCCCGTACGCTTAAACCTCAAGCCCTAAACAGTCGCTGAACTTCAGATCCTAACCGCCCAGCCCTAATCCCTTACACCAGAATATCAGCTTCACTCTAAGCCCGGAGCCGTAAACCCTAAACCCCCTTAAACCTTAAACCGTGGCTATGGCTCGGGCATTTCCAGGGACCATTGAAGATTCGCCCTCATGGCATACACCGAGATACCGACTCAGCGATCAGCTCATTCCACCAGGCTATTCGGGATGACGGCAGCATGTGGACAAGACGAGCTGTTTGATGAGCTTCTCTCACACCAGATCGAGAGCTATGCACTGCAGCCAGAAGAGCAGGATTTGGCCTCTGCTCGCAGTGGCGGTCTCGGGAAATCCCTGGCAAAGAAGATCTGCCAGAAGGTTGCAGCCCATCTTACGGCAGCCCTTCAGGGGCAGCTGTGGGTATAGTGAGAGCGACGACATGCATGCTCGTTTCTTCGAGGCAATTTTCTGCATGATCGCCCTTGGTAAGGCATACCTGCATGGGATCGCCAAAAAACCTTTTCCTCTAGGGTTTTTGGATAAAGCCGTCACAACGTCCCGACATATTTCAGTACATGCTTCAAAGAAGTGGGTTTTTGTGTTTTTTTTAGGTTTGACCGTGCAGTGGCATCAGTCTAGGGCGCGTGAGCCCTTGCAGGTACCGAGGAGAGTTCGAGAAGCGCATGCAGAAGCTGCTGAAAGAGCTTGCGGGCCTTCGCGACGAGGTGCCAACAGAGAATGTCTCGGATTTGCGCTTGGGGCTATAGTTGAGGCTCGAACTCAGGACTTCCGCCGGTTTTAACTAGGGGGCAGAGGTGTAGAGGTCGGGGTGCGTCTTGTTATTTTGTCGTGCCGGAACCAGGGGATTGAGTGGGTCAAACCTAGGCGTGGAAGGAAAAGGGCAGTCAGCACCCCCCTCTAGGCCTTTGATTTGCCGTGTTATTCTTTTATTTGATAACCACGATCATGAGGACGGTGATGGTTAGCATCATCACTATGATTACCATCATCATTGCTATGCTTATCATTAGCACTGTTCTTGTTGCGGCTTCTTACCTTCTGCCGATGTTCCTTGGGAGGTGATCCTGTTCATCGATGAGATCCACATGGCAGCGCACTCAGCATCGGAGTTTCCAATACCGAGACTACAGAACCCCTTCATTAAGGCCTATATGTGTATACCTATGTATATGTGTATATATATATATATATATATAATTATAGACACACCAACTCATAACATAAGTTAGGGTATATATTCCTTAAACCAAAGTACAGTTTAAGGTCTAGTCCTTCAACCAGAATGGAATTGAAGGTATATTCCTTTAATTAAGGGCAGAGGCCCAAGATTCTCAAGACTCATAGCCTGAACCCCTAAACCGCAAAACGCTAAACACGATAAGCCCAAATCCCAAAACCCTCAACTCTCAAACCTCAGTTGAACCCACGCAAAACCTGTAGCCTTAAACCCTCGACCCTGAACCCCTCAAACCCTCATGCTGCAAACCCTAAGCTTCCAGCTCGCAGGACTCGGTTTTAAAGGCTTTTGGGCCCGGAAATCATGCTGTATTTCAACCTTTTGGAGTATGCCGTTGTCCAGGGTAAACCTAGCGGCGCCTAACTTCGAAGACCTCACGGCCCAGCCCGAAACCCCTAAACCTAAGCCCGGAAGCCTGACCCCTTGAGCCTAAACCCCAGTGCAGAAACCCCAGACCCTAAACCCTAAACCCTAAACCCTAAACCCTAAACCCTAACATGTAAAACGGCTAGGAGCTCGGCACAGGAACGAATTGTCAGGATTCATTTTTTGTTTCAAGGATGTAGGGGTTCAGGGTTCAAGGTTTCAGGGTTCAGGATCACGAGTTCAGATTTCACGTCGCAATGGTCATGGACAGCCTTGTCAATCATTCCGCAAGGCTCTTGGAAGCCTTTGCTACACGAAGCCAGGAAGAAGCTGAATACGAAATCATGCAAGAGGTGGAATCAGATTCGATGTGCAAAAGGCTGGGAAGAAGGCTCGAACCTTTTGTCTGCTGGATGCTGCGACCGTTACTATCGACGGTTTAGGGTTTAGGGTTTAGGGTTTAGTGTGCAAGGCCCCTGATGCGAAATCTGAATGGGAGACTGTAGACACTCACATCGCCGCAATGTCTGCACAGATGTCAGCTGAACTACAACGTCATGATGCTGCACAACGGGCAAGAGCCTTCGGACCTGACTCCATCTGGTAAGACATGTTTTCGTACATTTGCACCAGAGTGGGGCGTTGGAGAATGGCGATTATGAATCCTGGGTCTGACCTTGAAGTTGTCTGGGCCGGCTCAACTCCAAACCCTCGAATAGGAGCCAGGCGCAAGCCGACAAGATACTGGACATTCCCCATGAAAGGAAGGCACCAGCACCGAAAAACCTGTAACCCTTAAGCCCTAAGACAGCCCGCCCTAAAGGGAACACTCCGAAACCTCCCTGACTCCCCTATCGTTCCTGCATGGTAAATCCTCTCGATAAAACCCTGCAGCCGGTAAACTTTTGTAAACCGCTTTACCTACCCCACAAGTCCCTTCAAAACATTCTTGACAGCCATAATTCTAACACCCCAAGCCCGAACGTCTAAACCCCAAACAACTCTAAACTCTCAACCCCTAGCCCTCCTGAACGCTACAGCTTGGAACCCCAAAGCCTGAACCCCAAAAAAACCCTTAAACCCTAAAGCTTCGAACTCTTAAGCTTCTTACGGCTTAGGGCTTGTAGGGTTTAGGGTTTAGGGTTTAGGGTTTAGGGCTTACAGTTCAAAGTGTAGGATTTAGGGTTTAGGGCCCATCCTTGAACAAGCCCATGGTATGGAACCCTCACCAGCCCTGAAAAACTTTCATTTTTTCGCAAGACCTTCAGAGCACTTTCTTCCAACCCCCAAGGCCCAAAGCCTCCCTACGGTTGATGATGTAAATCCTGCATTACCCACAATCAGGAATATGCCACAATCCCCGTAGTCTAGGTTCATGAAGGTAATGCAGGATTTATAACCCTAAACCCTAAACCCTTATGGATCCCTTTAAAGGAATCACTTGAAGGTGCCCTTATGGATCCCTTTAAAAGTACCTTCGGATTTATATGGGAGTTTCCGAAAATCGGGGACCCTAATCTAGCACCCTGAATACTAGGATCTTAATTTATAAGGACCCCAAAATCAGGTACCCCTATGTTTCGGAAACTCCCAGCTAAACCCTAGACCCTAAACCCTGTATAGAACCCTTATAGATCCCTTTAAAAAGACCCCTAGGATTTATATCCCTTTAAAGGGACCCCTAGGATTTATATCCTTTAAAGGGACCCCTGGGATCTATAGCATTTAAAGGGACCCGTAGGATTTATACCCTTTAAAGGCGCCCCTAGGATTTATATCATCCACCCCAAGTCCAGGCCCTGGGTGCCGGGGAGACGGAAAAGGGCAGCTCCATGGATGCGGCAGCTCAGCAGATCAGAGTTGATTAGGGGAGGGCTGCCTTCTTCTTTTTTTGTTTTTAGGGGGGGGTTTAGGGTTTCGGGTTTAGGGTGTAGGTTCAGGGTACAGGGTTTAGGGGTTTAGGGTTTAGGGGCTTAGGGGTTAAGGGCTTCAGGATTTACGGTGTTTTTTGCGGTCTTAAGGGTTTTGTAAGTGTTTTTCTTTTCTTTTTGAGGCTTCTATCCCAGCCGAAGTTCGAGGTGTAAGGCTTAAGCTTGGGTTTAGGGCTTGCGGTTGCAAGGGGGCTTTATCCGCCAAGGCCTAAACCCTAACGCGTAAACCCAAGTCCCAAAAACACCGCTAGCGCGAGATCTCTTGGGCGCACTGGCAAGCCCATGCGCCCACCCCCTTCACGTCCCGATAGATGCTACTTAAAGGATTATGGGACTTAGTAAGTACGGTTATTATCAAGGTAGCTATACTTATAACTGCTTATAGCCCCAATTACGGTACTTATGACCATACTTACTAGGTCCCAGGATCTTCCAAGTAAAACCCTTCAAACGAAGACGCCAAGTGCTTGAATCTAAACCCTAAACTGTGCAGGCTTGAAGCCTCCCTCCATACTCTCAGCCTTGAATGGGTAAAACACCACAGTGCAAAATCCAATACTCTGGACCCTGACCCCTTTAACTCACAAAGCCTTGAACCATGAACCCCAAGACCACAAAAGCCTCAATCCACTTTACTCTCCCAGCAAAGCCAACAAACTTTGGTAACAGCTTGCAGACCTCCTTCCTTGAACCCTGTAGATCCTTCATAGAACAGAACCCTGATAGCACTTTCAGAAATTCACGCATAGAGCGCTTGTTGAACCCCTTACAGAACCACCGTAAACTGCAAACCCTAAGCCTCAAGATCCGAAACCCTGAACCCAAACAGCCTAGACCCTAAACCCCTAAACCCTAACACACCCTAAACCCCTAAACCCCTAAACCCCTAAACCCCTAAACCCCTAAACCCTAAACCCCTAAACCCCAAACCCCTAAACCCTAAGCCCCTAAACCCTAAACCCCAACACAAGGCCAAGCCAAGCCGCGTTGCAAGGCAAACCTCCTGAAGCCCGCTCTGGCTCGCGGCGAGCTCCGCTGCATCGGCGGGGGTCCTACGGGCTTAGAGTTTAGGGTTTAGGGTTTAGGGTTTAGGTCCTACTTAAAGGATCGTGAGACTTAGTAACTAAGGTTATCATTAGAGTAATTATACTTATGATTACTTATAGCCCCGATTAATGTACTTATAACCTTACTTACTAAGTCCCATGATCCTCCAAGTACGGATGTAACTGGGTTTAGGGGTTTCGGGTTTAGTAGCCTGGAGTTTTGGGTTTTCGGGGTTTCTGTAGGGGGTCTGGGGTTACGGGTTTCTGGGTTGACTCCGGGCTTTCGGTTTTGATGGTGTGGGGCTTAGAGTGCTTAATTGAGGATCCTGTGCCACGGTTTAGGGTTTAGGGTTTAGGGTTTAGGGGGTCTGGGAGTTGGGGTTTCGAGCCACGGTGTTAGGGGATTTACGGCCGTAGGACGACGCTGACGGCTAGCGTTGAGTTGGATGCGTTCACAAGGCACTTGTCAAGGCACCCGCCGTCCCGAAACTCGACCCGCAACCGTAAATCCTGTTTTTAACCCTGAACCCCAACTCCCGAAACCCTTGACCCTTGGCCCGAAGCGATTGCAGCGGTTTCAAGGGGTTTATCAAAAATTCCATCCCCTGGCAATAAATCCTCGATATTCTTGTATGTTCTAAGCGGTTCTAGCGTGGCGACCCGAGCATGTCAAGCCCTTGACCCTGGGGTGGAGCGAATGCGCCGCCTTGATTGGATGTACAAGCGAGTTGGGGATCGTGCGCCCAGTGCTGCTGCAGCCCTCTCATTTGTGACACGCTTACTGAATGCTGGGCGGCTGCTTGCTGGCGGGTTTGGGGTTGCTGGCCTGGTGGCATCGTCAACCTCCACCTTGATCCTAACTGATGCCTCGAAGGGGTTTGGGCTTAGGGCTTCGGCTTCGGCATCAACGCCTCAACTCATCATCCCGCCATGCTCATCGTTTTAGAGTTTGGGAGACACGTCATGTGCCTCTTCCCAGAAATTTCACAAAGTCTTATAGACTGAAGGAGCCGTTCTTGACCTTGAAGGGCAAACTCGTTAATTCAGGGATGCGGAATTCCTGGGGCCGATGAATTAAAGGCTTCCGAGCCTGCAGCTTAAAGGTGCCTGCAATGCCTATAAAGATTTTAAGGGTGAAGTCGGCTTCCTGAGCACTTAGTTGTCGAGGACTGCGGAATCAGCAGGGTTCTAGGCAGGGGCTCAATCTCTGTTTTGGCTTTATTATTATGTGCAGACCAGGAAGCTTGTCTGGATTGATTTCCTTATGCTGGCGGTTCTTTCTAGCTAGCTACTACCTACCATAAACCCTAGGCCCTAAACCCTAAACCCCAAACCCAAACCGCCAAATCCTTAACCCTGAACCCGCAACCCTGGGCCCTAAACCCTAAACCCTAAACCCTAAATCGCAACCCTGAACCCTGAACCCTAAACCCTAAACCTTAAAACAAAGAATCCTTAACCGTGAACTCGAAACCCTGAACCCATGAGCCTCGGTAAAGTTTAGTCGTCTGCTGCTGTCCGGCTCATGTTGCAAGAAAGCTGCTTTGCTGGAACCAGAGAAACCCTAAACCCTAAACCCTAAACCCTAAATCCTAAACCCTAAATCCTAAACCCTAAACCCTAAACCCTAAACCCTGGATCCTGCCCCTACACCCTAAAAACCCCCCTAAACCTAAACTGCACGATCCGGGAATTCAGGGTTCCTGCCTGCTTCGAACGATATCCAGGCGCAACGACCACGGCGGAGTACAAGCGCTTGATCCAAAACCAGGCATCCTGGGTTCTTGTTAAGGGGTTTCGGTTTCGGGTTTAGGGTTTAGGGTTTAGGGGTTTGGGGGTTTTATTTAAGTTACCGTAATACAAGAAACCATTTTATTTACTATAGATCCCAACTATGGTAACTTAAATCAAGCTCCTCAAAAAGAGCACAGCATCCGGACCAAACCCGCCTCTTCAGAGACTCCAATATCCCTTAATTAAGGAATGTACCTTAAAAAACTAGAACCCTAATATGATTGAAGGAAATACTTAACTAAGGGATATTGGAGTCTATGGTTTGTTCATGAATCCTCCTTTAGTTGCCTTGGAACTGGCAGTTCCAAGACCCAGAAGCCAAAATGCAAGACCCTAAACCCAGATCCCTAAACCCAAAGCCCCCAACCCCAAACCCCAAACCCCAAACCCTAAACCCTAAACCCTAAACCCTAAACCCTAAGCCCAAAGCCCCGAACCCCAGGATGAACTATGAACCCCCCACCACCCAAAGAAAGACGTGCAAGCTGTCAGCTGGGCCGTACCCTGAGATTGCCTGACAGGCCGAAGGATCAACCATGGAAAACCCCTGAGCCCCCAAAGTGAAACCTCTTCAAAGAGTGTAATATCATGTAATGTAATGTAACACAATATGATACAATCCAATATAGCATGATAGAATATAGCATCATTTAATACGGTATACTTCACACACCGAAACCCTCCGCACGTCAGGACAAGGCCTTCGAGCGGAGGTTTGTCATCGTCGAGCTCTTCGAGCCTTCTGAGGTTCAACCCGGGTTCCATTTAAAGTTTAGGGTTCAGGAGTTAGGGTTTAGGGGTTTAGGGGTTTATGGTTGAGGGTTTAGGGGCTAGGGGTTTAGGATTTAGGGGTTTAGGGTTTAGGGCTCTAGTGATTTAGGGTTTAGGTTTCCGGGTTGTCGAGATCTTTATCGGTTTTCACAGGGTGCAGCTTAGGGTTTGAAGTTCGGCGGTTTAGAGTTCGAGTTCGAGGTGTACTTGGAGGCCCTTTTGACTTAGTAAGTCTACTTAGTATCCCCTATAAACCCCATTATAATCCCCATAACCGACCTTACTAACCCTACTTACTAAGTCAAAAGGGCCTCCAAGTAGTCATCAGGGCCTCGAAGTCCCTTAGTCTAGCCCTAATCTTTTGAAGCTTCTCAGACCCCTTCTGGAACCCGTGGGCCACAAACCCCTAGCCCTGGAACTGAAATCCCAAGCCCTGAATCTTAAGAAACCCCTAAACCTTAAATCCCTAAACCCCTAAACCCCTACCTTAAATCTTAAACGCTGCACCCCTGGCACCCTTAAAGCTTAAATCCCTCACCCCTAAACCCCAAGCAGTCAGCTTAAGATCCCTTAAAAGGAACCTTAAAACCCCAAGCAGTCAGCAAGCCGCATCGCAGCCAGGAGGCGGCCGAGGAGATGTTGCAAGCGATGCGCCCCGTCTTCGAGCCACCTCCCAAGAGAATCAAAGCGCTCCATAGGGTTTAGGAAAGTTTCGCTTTAGGGTTTAGGGGTTTAGGGTTTAAGGGATCTTTCATCCTACTTAGGCCCGAAACCCTAAAGAGAACCACCAGGCTCCATGTCGGGCTTAGGGTTTGGGGGTTCGAGGGGTTTAGGGTTTTAGGGTTTCAGAGAATCGAAGGGCTCCTCTTGGTTCAGAGTCTAGGGTTCAAAGCTTAGGGTTTAGGGGTTAGGGCTTCAGGGAATAGGGTTTGGGGTTCAGAGTTTAGGGTTTAAGGTAAAAGCCAGAAAGTTGGAATATGATTATCCTAACCCTTCTATGGTAAATTATAGGGTATACTACCCTGAAACCATATTCCAACTTTCTGGAGTTCCCTTTAGGGTTTGAGGTTAGGGTTTAGGGTTCAGGGGTTAGGGAAACTCAGGGGACCCAAGGGCTGCAAGGGTGAGATGAAGGTACTTACAGGATCATGGGACTTACGGTTTAGGGTTTAGGGTTTAGGGTTTAGGGTTTAGGGGGTTATTAGTAGGGTAACTACACTTATAACTACTTATAACACCAATTAAGGTACTTATAACCTTACTTACTAAGTCCCATGATCCTCCAAGTAGCTGGGGTAATCCCCAAGTAAGAGTCACGTGAAAGAA